ATTGCTTCCTTTTTTTAAAATTTTTTTTTTTTTTGGTAAAGAAAGGGAAAGTTTCTGGCTTTTCATATATTTTTTCATGGCTTGAAAAATTTAACCTGAATTTCTCAAGTGAAAAGAAAAATAGTGTACATTATAGATATTAAGCTCCCCAAGTAGTCAGAGAGGCACCCACAATAAATGCCTTAAAAGTTATGCAAATAAGACGGAAATTAAGTTGATATATTAATTGCAACCTACAGGTTTATAATCATCTACAAAGTTGAACATTGTTACGGCATGAAAATGCATATAGAAATGTAAAAACTTATACAGCATCAGAAAGTTTGTGAGAAACAATGGATTTGAAAGGTTTTTTCCTAATTAATAGTAGCATCTGTCCATCTTTTTTTCCTACATTTTTAAACTAGATATGCAAAATTCTGTTTATGATTTATTTGATATAATTTCAGATAGCAGTCATTAAATACCAACCAAATGAAAGATGATTTGTCTCCAAACCATAAAGCTAGATATTTATAATATCCCAAGAACAGGAACATTTTAAAGTATTGATAAGGACGGTATACTATATCATTGAATTTCTTGAAATTTGCTGGGTAAAATTTGCCAGGCTGAAGCAGGAAAAATAGGAACCTCAAAATTTTAGTGGATAGAGAAACTCTGCTACTAAACACAATTCATATCATGCTTTATTCTATTAATACAAGTTTTTGAGAAATAGCATGGCACTATCCTTTTTCACAGGTAATGACATTCTTTATGGCTTAGTTTGGTCTATTTTAAAAAATGTGATCTCAAAATTCTAAAATCAAAAATTTGTATTGTAATGATTTATTTGGAAGTGTCTGAATTTAATATAGTTCCTATAGTTCAAAAATATGTTTACTGAATGGAGTGTGGTAACTTCAACTCTCATGAGCAAAACTTTTCATAGACATAAATGTAAAAGCTCATGGGTATTCCATATACGTGACAAGACATCATGTAATGTGCCTAAGCTGTCATCCACATACACAGCCAGTTTCCTCTGTCTTAACAAATTTTCATCAACCAGTCCTACTTTCTCAAATCACAGCATGGCAGACATAGAGAGCTGTTGGAAGCAGGAATACTGATTGATTTTTATAAGTGACCATGGATAAACTATGAACCTTTGTTTCTGTTAATAAAAACCAGAGTTTTTGTTTTGCTACAGAAACAAAAGAGTTAAAACATAGATGATGTGTTCTGTTATAATCTGTCATTGACTAAAATAAGTATTCATGAGTATAACAGGTTGGCAGTGGGGCATCAAAAGTTAATGTTTAATATCCATGCATAAAGAAGTGGAAGGGTGTTGTATTAGTTTCCTAGGGATACCGTAACAAAACACCACCACCAAAGTGTGGCTTAACACACCAGAAAGTCATTCTCTCATTGTTCTGGAGGCTTGCAGTTCAAAATACAGGTTCCTCTTGAGGCTCTGTGGGAGAATTTGTCCCTGCCTCTCTCCTTGTCTCTGGTGGCTGGGACAATCTTTGGCATCCCTTGCCTTGTAAATGTGATGCTGCAGTCTCTGCCTTCATCTTCACATGGCATAGCCCGTTTTTCCAGTATCACCACAGTGCCTCCCTGCCAGGAAGGTGGCCTCAAGAACATTTCTCTTTGCTTATGTTGCATATTAGAATCTCTGGCAGTAGAATGTATCTATTTGGTTGTGCATAAAAATATAGAACCTGTGTAAATAAAGTGTGTGTGTGTGTGTGTGTGTGTGTTCAGTTATAAATGGCCCCTCCTTTATTTCAAAGACGACTTTATAGAGTTGAACTCAGGTTTGTGTGTTTTTGATTGCTTCTCTTTTAAAAAAATTTTGAATCTTGAAATTGCGGTAAAAAAAAAAAACCACATGGCATAAAACTTACCATCTTAATCACTTGGGAATAAAGCTGTCTTCCTAATCGAAAAGTGCTGCTTTAAAGGAAATTCCATTAAATATGGTCAAAATAAATTGTTAGCAGAAATGGGAATTTCTATAATCTGGCAAAGTACTTTATCCTGACATAATTGCACAAGAATTCAGTGGTTCTTCAAAAATACCTATATTTTTTATTAAGGGAACAGTAATCACAAGAGTCCATTAATGAAAAGAAAGCATTCAAACGACAAGACAAGACCATAGTGAAAATAAATATATCTGAAACTGCTATTTGAAATCACCTCTGAGTCAGTTTATGATACTCAAAAGAAAAGCAGTAGAATTATTTGTGAATTACCATGGATTACTTAAGAATTACCACAGTGATTTCTTATGTTGAGTGTATGATCCATTTTGATTGTCCAAATAACTTTAATTAGAGTTTTCTATTATCTTTAAGTGGAAGAATAACTGCCACAACTAAAAATATCTAAAAGTATAATCTAGAATTTAGAAGAAGATAAAAAAAAAAAAGGCCCAGAAACACCTGTAAATAAAGGTATCACAGGAATATCCAGAACAGAGTCAAATATGTCATTTTTAGTCAAGTTAGAGTAGCAGTGTTTCCTACCTCACAATTATAGGAATTGTAGCTTTTAGAATTTCTTCTCAACAATATAAAATATGTCAAAATAGGAGGATTTCTCTTCTTTTATATATTGTCCTAAATAGCCAATAGGTGTGTTCTAAAATTTTTAAAAAGTTAATTTTATCTTAGTGCATTCAATAATGATGAAATAACATGAAAAATAATTAAGTGAAATGTTAAATTAATATAAGTGACTTTAAAATTTTATGCTAGTTTTGATTATCTCTCAAGTGTTCCACTATGGACAATCAAGAATTGACTGTACTCTAAGAAGTCAATAAAAACACACAGTCTTCCACATTCTTCATGGAGATTTAAACTATAGGAAAATAATAATTATGGCCACCTTTAGTTTTAGATTGCATATTCCATATTCTCCAGGAATATTGCCATGGTATTAATAAATATACGCACGCTCTGAGAATAGATTTAAAATTATACCTGCAAATTGCTTGAATTCAAATTCATGCTCTGCTTTTAGCTATGAGACTGCGGTTCAGTTTCTTATTCCTTGTTGCCATTATTTCATCTGCCGTGAAATGAGAATAACCGTAGAAGCCTCTCGTGTAGTCTTGTTAAGGTTCAAATGAGATCCTGGATGTAAAAGAGTTCGACTCGGGGCCTGGAAAGTGGCAAGTGATTAAGAACATTACCTGATCTCACCTGTTCTGATTTTTACCTGTACATCAGGGGGGCTTTGCCTCACATGTGAGTAGACCACGAGCGTGGCTCAAGGTCATGCTACATCTGTGCAGGCAAAAGGCATGCATACAGGGCTCCGTATTTTTGTGGACGAGTAAAAAACAATCGGGGTAGTGATGATGAGTAACAACACAATGCATAGTGTTTGCATAGTGTTGGTGTCTGTTCTTTGGAGGAAAAGAACTTCTATACTTGCCATTCACTTCACTGGGGACGGCCTCCACCAGATACTCGTGTGGCGTGCCCTGGCTTCCTTAAGTTTTCCACTGAATGTGCCCTCCTCACAAACGCCTCCGCCGACAGCCCCATCTACTCTCTTTCCCCTCGTTTTCCTTTATTTATCTTCCTTGGACACTTTTGTTTTTGTTTTTGTTTCGATTTCTTCCCTTTATTATATGAGTCATAGGAGCAGTGACTGTTTTCTTGCTCAGTGCCATAATTTCAATGGATAGAAAATCATCTTTGACAGAGTAGGCATATATATATATATATATATATATATATATATATATTTGTTGAATGAATGGAAGCATGCATATTATTTAAAAGAATTGTGTTCTATGTTTTATTCAAAGGCAAAATTTTTAGCTAAGGTGTGGCTTCTGACCAATGAGTAGTGGTATAATATAGAGATCTTTGCAAGTAAGCATGGCTAATATTTATTTACGACTAAGTATAGGACAAACTTTATGCTATAAATTGTGTAAACATTAACTTATTCACTATCCGTGGTGCCCCAATGAAGTAGGTGATATTTGGATTCCATTTTGCCAATAGGAAAGTGAGGCTTGGAGAGGTCAAACAACATGCCCCTCCAGTGAGCTGAGTGGCAGAGCCAGAATAAGTACTTGGTGCCTGATTTCATTTTACAGATGTGAAGACATAGACCTGCACTGTGTCACAGATCCACTGTTCACTTTGAAGAGCAGTTCTCAGCTCACATCCTTGCATGATGGCTCAATAGCACCCTTTGCAGGTACAAAGATAAAAATATAGTGTACACTTGAATTCTTGACTCAATGCCAGGTCTGAGAGTTATGTGTATTAGCTAATTAGTAACTAAATAAAGTTCTTTAAATCTTCTAAGAAATGTATCTTAGATAAAATTTAGCAAAACCATTGCCAAACTGCTGGTTCATTTACCTGAGCAGTCAATTTGTTCTATTACTAACCTGTGTTCCAGGTATTGAAAGCTGTTAGAAATCAATGAATATTGCTTCAGTTTAATCGTCATGCTTCAGCCTGTATAGCACTACATCATAGATTTTCAATAAGGTGGTAATTGTGGACAAAATTGAAATGGAAATTCACTCGGTAATGATGTATTTCCATAATGTCTGTGCTTATGGAGAATTGCTACAAGCTCCTTTTTTTTTTTTTTTTTAAGGCAGGGCTATAGAAACAGGAGATTATGGGCTGGAGCTAATGCACTGTTAACATTTTATGATAATAATAAGCCTTGTTCCTATTTAAGAGGCAGGGATTCCAATAATCAAAATACCATTGGCCCGGAGAACCCGATTATCTTCATGGTCATGATTTCGTACGACCTGAACAAGGAAGAGTTTATTTCTGACTCCCTTTGTGAGCTGTGAATTGTGAAATACAGTTATCAATTCCATCACCAACACTTACATAGTGCGTACGTGTTACCAGACAATGGAAGCCATGTGTAATTTGTCTATTCAAATTACCTCTATGAGAGAAACAAAGAGAAGCCAAAGATTGAAAGAAGAGCAGCTGTGGCTAGAAAGGTGTCGCAAGTAATTATAATTACTTCCCTTGCTTTGAAAATGTTCGATACAATAGTGATCAGATTCCAAAGGTAAGTCTGGTATTCATGGTCTCCTCAGAAGTAGGATGAAGCTTTCCCTAACCATCAGTAGCTCTCCCTTTCCCCGCTGTACGCCGGCTCAGTCCAGCTGTGCTTCCTGTTGTCAGTCTCGTCTCATTAGCCGTTGAAAATACTGACTTCTTCATCCTTCTCCAAGCATTTCTTTTCTGTCTCTTCTGACACAGCCTCATGCTGCTTTTACCCTGAGCACTCCAGATACTTCTTTTTCTACTTTGCAATCTCTCCCATATGTACCGGCTCAGTAAATGCTACGGCTCCTCAGGCCAGGGTCCTGGAACTTCTCTTCATTCCCTCTGCTCTCGTCTAGACCCGTGACATCAACAGCTGCCTGCAAACACACTGTGCGTTAACGTATATTCTCAGGCTCAGACCTTTTCTGTTATTGGCACGAGACTCACATTACAACTTCCCACTGGATGTCTCTTCTAGGATAACCCACAGGCACTCCAAATTCTATTATTTAAACGGTGAACTTGTGCTTTTGCCTCCAGACTTCATTAATTTTCAGTGATGTTCATCTCAGCAAATGGTATAACACTCAATCCGACCACTTACTGTTTTTACTTTGCTCTCTAAGGCCCCATGTTTGATCCATCACCAGATCTCGCCAACGTAATATCCTGCATCTTGAATCTATCTAATCATTTCCATTATTATATCACAATCATCCTAGCCAAACTCTCTTCTGATCTATTAAAATAATCTCCACACTGGTAACAATCATATCTGCACCATTTCTTCCTCCAGTCTCTTCTTCATGATGCAGCCAACAAAATTAGTCAGAACACAGGTCTAATGACATGATCGTAACCCATTCAGTGGCTCCACAGAAGGGTCCATTTAAGGAAACTGAAAATTGCAGTAAATATTTCAAAAAGAGAAGATTTAATGCAGGAAATTGGTGACTGTTGTGTTGGAGGCTGAGGCGAGAAGGTGGCTTGAGGTCAGGAGTTCAAAACCAGCCTGAGCAAGAGTGAGACCTGTCTCTACTAAAAATAGAAATAAACTAAAAAAATATATAGAAAATATTAGCTGGGCATGGTGGCGCGTGCCTGTAGTCCCAGCTACTCGGGAGGCTGAGGCAGGAGGATCGCCTGAGCCCAGGAGTTTGAGGTTGCTGTGAGCTAGGCTGACACCGTGGCACTCTAGCTTGGGCAACGGAGTGAGACTCTGTCTTCAAAATAAATAAATAAATAAATACATAAATAACTACATAAAGACTACAGCAGTTACTACCTTAGAACTGAGGAAACAGAAGGAAAGAGTTAGTATCACGAGAATCTGTGGGCTCAGAGGAGAGGTCCTGCTCCACTTCCCGTCGGGCCTCTGAGCGGGGGCTTCCTGCAGCTGATGGGAAGAGTGAGGGCAGACGCTTGTGGCCGGAGCCCAGCGCTGCTGCTGTTTGCTAGAACGCAGGAGGAAAGTCGTATCTCCTCTCTTCCTACTTTCTGGTTTCCCTCCAGCGTGCCTCGCTGATGGCAGAGCCCCAGGGGAAGGTCTGCAGGGGCCCTGGCAGGAGTCAGCAAGGAGGGCAGCCCAGTTCCTGCAAGAGCAAAGAGTAAAAGCGACCTATTTGTGACGCTGAACAGATATTTCAATTATTTTTATGAAAAGCTATTACTGAACAAGAGAAAGAAAAGAGATGGTGCTGCTGATAACCTCAGACACAGCCTGTGGGGGCCCTGGGCATGGCCACCTCTGCTCTTTGCGCTCTTGATTTAAGTTGTTCCCTCCCCAGGTTAACTGAGGCTCAACGCTGGAAAGACTAGGTCACATTACGTGTCTTGATTTATTTTTGAATGTGATTGAATGATGACCTAGTGCTTTCTAATAAAATAAAATCCAAGCCGATGCCTGTATCCAGGTCTCACTTTCTGTGGTCTTAGAACTCTGTTTTCCTTGGCGTGGTTCCCATAGGGAAAAGGAAAAATTTCTTTATCGTGGGATAATATAATCACTCTAAATTTTTTGGCGTTGAAGCTATATTCTTAGTGATATATATGGCAGTTTTCATTACTGGAAGCAATGCTTAACAGATATAAAAATTAAATTGTTTCAGTTTAACATTTTCCTTGATATTATGAAAATTTAATTGGAGAAAATTTTAAATGGGATAAAAGGCAAAATTATGCTGGAAGGTGATATACTAATAACATTTCTCTCATTAGGAAGCCAAGAAAAATGTCATAATTATATAATATTAAAACCAATTCCTTTTAGTTATTCTGCCAAGGTGCAAAAAGAGATCAAAATTATTTGTACTTGAAGCGAAAAGTATCAGTAGAAAGATTTGTCTAAAGGAGGTTTATATCTTTGGGATTCAATCAAATTTTAATGAGGGATTACAGTTGGGACTTATGGAAAATAAAAAACTCTGTTTGGATTTAGCTGGAGCAAAACCACTTGGACTAGAACGTTGATGGTTTAAGGATTTTAGGACTTAAACTATTCACTTTCTTGTGTGCATTAAGACTATTTTATGAGACCATCATTAATTTTTGTTTGAGGCATTAGAAATCCTTTGCCAAAACAATTTTTCAGTGTTATGCAGCTATATAAAGATTTTCCTTTTGATTGAGAAGATTAAAAATCTCCTTTCATCTTTTTATAACTGAAAATATATTCATCTCAGTTAACACCACTCCTATTTTTATTATTAAAGCTATTGAGGCAATGATTATCTTAATTTTTTAGGACATAGTCTCATGACTCCAGCAATCAATTTATTTAAGCACTGCTAGTCACAGTTACTAACATTGATAATATTATGCATATTTATCAGTATTCTGACTTTTAAAAATTGATACACACTTGGAAAAGCTCATCAGTTGCTATTGTTACTTGTGTTTTATTAGCCTATGTAAGCATTTTGTCTTTTAAAATGAAATTTTTAGGAAAATGATTAAAATTGCTTTCTTATATGAATATGTTAAGTATACTTTGATATTAAAGCAATAAGTGAAGATAAAATTTCAGTGATAAATTAATGGTTTAGTGACATGTTAAGCTTTGGGACACCAGTAACATAAAAACTGGACTCAGTCTAATAACACAATATAACATTAAGAGTCAATTGTCCTCTATACTAAGTGAAAATCTATTTCATATTTTGGTATTTGTGCTATTGCAGTTTCTTTTGTGTAACTGGTTCTTCTTGGCAGATGACACTCAGTATGCATTTACAACTTTGTTAGACTGATTTTCCTGAAGCAGGAGACATCTGCAGACTGTCTGTGGGCCTGCCTAGCACCTCAGACAATCAGACGAGACATATTATACATCTGCTGTCTTTTATGATATAAACTGCTGCAAGAAGGAAAATGCATTTATATTTCATAATGAAAAGAAAGTGTCTGAATGCCAACTAGTAGGCACAAAAGATTGCCATCTGAGTTGCCAGGCTTGGATTGTCTGACGTTAAATGTTTTAGCAGCTTATTCTTATGAATTATTGATGTTCTCACCATTTAGCAAATGGATCACATCACTATAGTAATTAGCACCCTGCCTTTTCTGCGTATCATAGTTAATGTATCATGAAAGAGCTAAGTGTGGAACTTAAAAAAAAATGATGAGATTTGTTTATATTTCACTGCTAAACAGAAGATAATAATCTAGGATTTAGGGATGAGGTTCAACAAGTGTAAGGTCACGACAGGGTAGGTGTGAAGAGAAGCTATTTTTCTTTCTGTTATTCCTATGGAGAAGTAATAATGATCTGCTCATTTAGGAAGATTACAATTTAACATGCTCCCAAATTGCAAAAAAGCACTTCATTTCTCTTAGAGCAATTGATTTCAGTTAGGCAGAGGAAAACAATTCTTAAAACAGTTACCACTTTATACCATTAACATTGTATCTATTACTACTTTTTACTGCTGATAATTATGACTGAAAACGTTCCACTTAAAAATATCTTAATTTTCACCGACATAAATGCTAAATACATAAAAATAATAATACTGATTGTAGATACTATACTTAATTCTACTTTTTTTTATTTTAACCCCAATTATACTACAGTAATAATGTCAAGGCTGTAAGCACCATTGTTACCTGGGTTACATTTGGAGTTTTCAAGAAGACAGCAGTAGGGTAGATAGGTAAGGATTTAATAATCCTTCAGCAATTCTTGTAAGCAAGGTACATTTTGTTATAATAATAAAATTTTTTATTGTTTTTGCAAAAAGTCTATTTTCCCAACTATCTAAGTGATTTGGCTTCAAACATTCTCTATTAAGAAAGTCATTTAATCTAGGAATAGAAAGCATGTCGGCTGTTCTTACACCCTGCCTAATTGAACATCAGAAATGAAGATCCAGGATTTTTCACAAACAGCTTTCCAGCAGTTTGTCCACTTCTACTGGCACTAGAATTACGTCTGATTGTTGGCCAAGTGATTGCAAGTTCCTGGGGTGCTGTGAATGTGATAAATCAGAAGCGGAGGCGTGTACCCAGAAAATGCCTCTTATAAAGCCTCCCTCTACTTCCTTGTCTATAAAATGATGAAAATTGTATTTTCTTTCTGTCTGTAGTTCCCAGGCATTGCCAGAACAATAAGAATTGCTGGAGCAGGAAGTTGCTTTATTGACTGATACTAATTGTGTCCCTAATAGCTTGAGAGGCTGCAAGTACCCATAGGACAGCATTACATGGAGATCATCTTTGCCCTATAAAGTTTGAAATGTAAGGCAGTCAAGGCTGACACTGGCAATCAGGAAAGATGCATACAAATTATTAATACAAATGTTGAGCAAAAAGGTAAAACAAGATAAAACAGCGAGTGGGAAAATGCATATGTTTTTTACGGATTAATAACAAGTGCCTCTCTGCAAAATTGAAAGGTGTGAATTGACCTCAGTAACTATAGTTGCAGGTTTTCTAGAGAGTACTCAGTTTTACTAATCGCCACTCTTTAATTTCCCTTGAGACTTCCATTGCATCAGTCCTAGAGCATACCTTAGACCTGAAATTATCAGGTCTCTAACTCTCTCTGGAATGATAGCTTCTGATGGCATGAAAACAATTCTGCATCACAGCTGAGTAGGAAAACTTTAGGCTAGTTAATCTCTTCTGGAATCTAAAACACGAGCAAATTTGTTTATCTCTATACATTTACAGAAACTCTCCCACTAACTCATGATGTTAATTCAAATCACAATGCTACCCCCACCATAAAAAAAAAAACAAAAACAACACACATATACATACACACACGCACACACACACACACACACACACACACAAGCAGGGAAATCATATTTTTAGATACACACTTTTTATTAACGATGCTTATCCTACATGCAGTGTCAAAGAAGTGCAATTTTGTGGGATGGCTTTAAAATATCTGTTTGTCTATCTGATACAACCTTAGCCTAGAAGATCCAGCATAGATGCTGATATCAAAATTTCTTCAGTGATCCAAGCTAGAATCTTTAGAGAAGTCAGTACGTCAATTATGATACATTTATGGAAGAGAACTGTCTGCCAGACTGTGTGTTGTAGAGGCCAAGACTGTAATGTGAACAAGGCACATGGGGTCTCCGCCCTCAGAGATGACCTGCCTTCTCTCCCCTCAGAAGATTAAACAAGTAAATGCACACAAAGTATGTAGAAAAACACACGAGAGAAGACAACTTAGGATGTGCGATAGATTATTCAGGGAGGGGGTTGAGGTGCTGCTTACCCAGGGTCCGTGATGGAAGTCTTTTTGAGAAGACAGTCATCGCAGAGATTTGGGAGAATAGTGTTTCAAGCAGAAAAGAGAGTGAGTACAAAGGATTGATAGGAGGATGGGACTGCTGTGTCCAGTGAACAGAACGTAGGCAACGTCAGCTAGAACGGAGGGAAGCAGGGCTGGGCTGGGGTAGGGGACGTGTGTGGCGAAAAGTGGTCAGAGTGCTGCATCCGTGGGCCAACGGCAGGGAAAGGAGTTGATGAACACAAGTCCGAAGTGACCCTCTGGCCTCAAAAGTTTATGCATTTATCCTTTTCACTTAAATCATATGAGCAAGAGGGATTAAGGTCCTCCAAATATTGATGCTACTTAAGTATTTAAAAATAAAACCCTTACCAGAGGAGTTGCTTCATAGAACAAAAGAAAATGAAAATGGTCAGCAGTGTTACTGTAGAACTGTGGGCTCCACTTCCTTGGGTTTTTGTCCTATCTTCTCCTCAGCTCCTAAGAGTTGACACTGAGCCCATCTTCTTAACTATTCTCGGACACAAGTTACAGATAAAATTTCAGCTGATAAACTCCAGGTAACATGTACTCACAGGAAAAAATAATCAGACCTCTAAAAAAAAAAAAAAAAAAAAAAGACAACAAACATCACAACATATACAAGCTAGAGCAAAAATGAAAAAGGAAGAATACACACAGAGAGCTTTAAAAGATATTAGCAATACAAAAGAAGCAACACAAGAAATAAGAATAAATGGGTGAGTGGAAATAGTAGATATAAAAATTATATAATGGTTCAAGTAAAGTATCTGATAGAAAATAGC